CAGAAATCAGATTGACTATGTGCTCTGCAGCCAATCTGATTTCTGTGTTGACCGTCTGGTGATGTCCATGTGTAGAGTCGTCTCTTGGGTTGTTGGAAAAGAGTGTTTGCTATGACCATCGTATTCTCTTGACAAAATTCTACCAGCCTGTGCCCTGCTTCATTTTGTACTCCAAGGCCAAACTTGCCTGTTACTCCGGTTATCTTTTGGCTTCCTACTTTAGCATTCCAAGCCCCCATGATGATAAGGACATTATTTTGGGGTGTTAATTCTAGAAGGTGTTGTAGGTCTTCTTAGAACTGGTCAGGTTCAGCCTCTTCAGCACCAGTGGTTGGGGCATAGACTTGGACTACTGTGATGTTGAATGGTTTGCCTTGGATTCGAACTGAGATCATTCTGTCATTTTGGAGGTTGTATCCCAGTACTGCTTTTCCTACTCTTTTGTTGACTATGAAGGCTATTCCATTTCTTCTGAGGGATTCTTGCCCGCAGTAGTATACCTGATGGTCATCTGAATTAAATTCACCCATTCCTGTCCATTTTAGTTCACTGATTCCTAAGATGTTGATATTCAGTCTTTGTTATCTCTTGTTTGACCACATCCAGCTTGCCTTGATTCATGGATCTTACATTCCATGTCCTATGGAGTATAGATCTTTACAGCATCGGACTTTCCTTTCACTCATCTTATTTTAGTAATATATTTATTATTAATAAGACTATATAACAACTTTGTAAATTTAAAAATAGTTTGAATTGAATTTTATGTTGCAATATGGAAATTTATATTGGACTATTACATCATTATCTAACACATACCTGCTCAATTTCCAACAGAATTCAATACATACATTATGAATATGATTCATAAAATAACATGTTAAACAATACCATTCTTAGCGACATCTTGATAGATTTGCTAAAGATAAAATTATTTTTGGGGCATCCCAAGTTGATTAATTTCTTTTACCAATAACCATGAATGCGTATCAAAATAAAATAGCTTTTTCATGGACACCATCACAATCTGTTCTTGGTCTTATTTTGACACCAAGAATATAGCTTCTGTACCTTCTGTTTCCAATTACATTGATTTCTATATTGGCCATCTGGTCATGTTCATATACATAGTCACCTGACTGCTTGTCTGAGGTATGTATTAGCAACAGATTGTTGCCTTCACATAAATCTATGAGTCTTTCTCCTGCTTTGCTTCTGACCCTCAGGGTCAATTTCTCCCACAGTGTTTGATTCTGTTTTGTTTCCCACTTTTGCATTCCAGTCACTTAGAATTATCAGCGTTTCTTGTTTTGGTGTGTTTTCTGTTTCCTTTCAGATGCCTGTATAGAAGTTTTCAATGTTTTCTTCTTAAGCATCTGTTGTTACAGAGTAGACTTGAATTATGGCTATGTTGGACAGTTGTGCTTCTATTCCATAGCTGATTTGAACATCTTGACTTTGAAAAATATCCTTAATAGAATAGAAATGGGTGGAAGAGCACCAGTGCAAGCAAGCAAACAAAAAGGATAAAGGACTTATCTATTGTGCACAAAAGCTATTTGTTGATGAATTTATTCTGATAAAATTGAAGGTACAATCTCAGGAAAGTGAAACTTCTTTTTATTTTTGATCTTTAGAGACTGATTCTACTTCTGAATGGCCCTTCCTGTCAGAGATACAGTGGCTACGAAGAAGAAGAAGGGCGGTGAGTGTTATGACACCAGTGATAATACACCAAATCCCAAGATAAATTTGTTTTAAGAGTAGTTGGGGAAACTGTGCTAAACATGTTTTTTTAAATACATTCAGCCTCTATGCTGGACATACTTGTATTGTGATTACCATTGTCATACTGTTACCAGAGCTGGGGATTTTGCTGAGTTCAAGTAGAAAGTCAAATTTATTTTGCAGTGGATGTGTAGTTGCAGTTAAAATGGTGGTACAGACTCAGGTATAAATGCACAGGGTGTAGTCCTGTAAGTTGAACCCTTGATGCTTGGTGTCCCCATACCTGGAGGTTTATGAACGGCTAGGGCAGAGCAGGAGAAGTGGACAAAGTGATCCCTTGCACTTTTCTGCTCTGCATTTTAGTTAGGCAGACATTTTCTTCATATCCTGGTAGCCCCAATCTTTTCCCCTCCCTCCTACCTTTAGCCCATATCCAAATTTTCCAATCTCAGAGGGACAACTGATTTGGTTCTTTCTGGGTGTAGTCCCTGCTCCAAGGCCAGAGCTGTTTCCAGTCTGGGATCTGGGAATTCAGATTGTACTGTCTAGGAGCCATAGGACTGCTTTCTCAATAGATAAAATTTCAGTACTAATAAAGGTGAGGACACTGAATTTACAATAGGATGATTTTACTTTTAATATTAATGGTTTAAATAGAATTCTGAATTAAGGAAAGACCATTAAAAGAAAAATAAGAAAGCAAGCTGCATATACCAAATATAAAATAGAATTATAAAATTACATTATTATTAAATATATACTCTAATGTATATTATATAAATAATATATAGTATTGTGTGATTGTTATACCATTATTAAATTGCTTACAGTTGATAATGACATGTTTAATCACCAAATCCATTGTACAGATTAAACAATGTTATAGTTTCGTTGCTGACATTCTGTAAGCAGTCATCTGTAAGTCATAGTTTGTTCAGAGTTTGTGATGAATTCAGTTTGGTATTGAATTACTTAAGCTAAATCAACAAGTGGCATTCTTATACATGATTTACATTTTAATTTGACAGGAGAGTTAGACCCTTTTGCATTCTGGAAAATGCCTGATATGCGTACAGGTTGGGTAGTCCCCAAGTTAAGAATGAGTTCGATTCCTTAGAATGTCCTTGAGTCAAATTTGTATGTAAGTTGGATCACATGTGTAATGTTTGTCTTTGTATATATTTTTCCTTTCTATGTATATAAAACACTTAAGAAACACTTCTGTATTCACTAAAACATATTAAACACAATACAACATTGTAATAATGGCAACAATACAGTAATAATAAAGTAACTACTGGTACTGAAGAGAGAAATAATCTGCATGCTTGTGTGTAGGTATATAGTACTGTAAAAAACAACAAATAAAGAACTAGTTCTTAAAACAGTTTAGAACATTCTTGAGGTAACATTAAGCCTAACATTAACTGATGATGATGGAGAGGGACCTCATGAGTCAGAGTTTGATTGTGCTGCTGGAGTCACTTTCTTGAAGTTCTTTGTAGAGCTATTTTAATTTTCTCATCATAAATGGCCTAGTAGAAGCTGAGGCCTCAGTAAATGCACAGTAAACCTTTGTGAACCTCTCTGTGTTAGGATCCTGCACCCCAAAATTTGGCACCCCTACTTCAGTCTGATGAAAAGCTATGCATCCTTTCATCACACTGATGTTCCCTAGAGATAACTGTCACTATCTCTAGAAAAAAATTTAGTACCCTAGAGATAACTGTGGCTATCTCTAGATAAAAGCCTTGAATATCTCTACGAAACTATACACCAACTGATGATGCATTGCCAAATGTGTTGCATAGTTTCCTAGTGATGTTAATGGCATTTCTCTGAAGATTCATATAGAGGTTTCTGGCAGTCTCTGTGTTTGTAAGTATGGGTCATTTGTAACCTAGATGTTCATAATCCAGGAACTACCTGTATAGTTAAACCTATATAAACTGAATAAAACTCAGAACTAGTTGTATGTGGTCCCTGAAAGAAAATGATCATTCCCCACTAGCCATTTTAATTCTTTCAAATCCAAACATAACTTACTGTTATGTTTCTGAGAAATGAGAAGTTCCATGGTTACTGAAGAGTTCCAGAAGTATACTACCTAGCTAGTTCTGGTTCCTTTTGAAAGGAGATCACTGATGGTTTATTAGCATTTTTAATACTTGATTTATTTTTTAAAAATCTTTCTATCTGTCCTCAAATGTTCCAGAGGATAGAGAGCTACATCAGATCTCCAGGGAAATAGCACTCCAAATGTTGTCAGCTAGCAAAGTCCAAAACTCAGCCCTCTATTCCCTCCCCTGTGATTCAAATTGAAGTATGCCCTTTTGTTTTTTGCCCTACATACATACTCTATCCTTTTAAAAGAAAATTTAATAAAAATCTGAATTTTTGAAAAATACATTACCTCATCATTACCTGAGAGTAAGAAAGATCTACTTTTGCTTTTTGCTTCCTTTTCAATTAGTTTCCACAGAAATATATGCCAGGATATTAACAAGTCCAGAAAACTACCTCAAGGCAACACATCGTGATAGCCATACCTACAGATATCTGTAGGCAAAATCAGAGCAATATATTAAAATTAACTGATCAGCATTTCATGTAAATGTTAAACGATCACTATAACAGGAACAAAAACACATGGCTTCTAATTTACGTTCAAGCATGTTGGATTTTATTGTAGGGTACAATACATCCTTTTATAGTTAACTATTAGGATATTTAGTTATTTTATGTCTAGTAATATGTTTGGGAATATTTTTTCTTCGTACTAATTTAAAATAAAGTTATTTTACAGAGTGAACTTCTGGCTCCTAGAAAATAGTGGGAGTGGGAGGAAAAGAAGAATTCAGAATCCTAGGTATGAGGTTGGAGACAGAGTTGCAACCTCAGGGTAGGGAAGCCATGCTCTGTTCCTACTCCCTCCTCCCTGCAGTCAGCACAGAAAAAAACACTCCAGGATCAGAAAGCAACTCAGAGAGGGGCTAGGGGTCACTTTAGGGAAAGGAAAGGAGACTGGGGCCACCAGGTCACCTGACAGTGCCCCAGCCTCCACCCCTCCCCTTCTAAGACCTCAGAAAATAACCAGAATCAAAATCTGCTACCTAGCTAAAAGAGACAGTGGAAAAGCAGGGAGATTGCCTCTGCCAGTCTTCCCACTTTGCAGTGAATGCTGTTAAGCTTCTGAGTTTAGAGGTTCACAAGCATCAAGGGTCCAGTCAGTAGGATTATGCCTTTAATCCCCTGAATGCAAAATATATACAGGTAATTGTATTTCTTGGTAATAAAAAGGAATGGCTGTTTGTTTGTTTGTTCATTTGTTTGGTTTTTCATCAGTAGTTTATTTATTTAAAACTTCTATATGCCATCCCTTATGCATGGAGTTCCTAGGCACTCTCCCATTCAGACCCCAGACACGCTCAGCTACATCATGGACCTACATATCATTTCTTGAGATGATACATTTGTTCAGAAGTGTACTGTGTTTATTAAGTACTGGCAGAATAAGATTCACACATTTATTAGCCCTCCAACCATCCCCCACCCCTGGTGTATGGGGTGATCAGGGAGGGGTAGCACCTCTGGTGTTGGGGCACGTCGTGTCCTCTTAGGGCAGCTCGTCCACCTTTGGTCCCCACTTGTCACCCAGCTCTCACCTGTGACTCCCAGTAGCTGTAGCATGCACAGCGGCCACACCCCGGGCAACAGCTTCAACAGGCTGACCAAACCAGGTAGAGGGATAGGGATTTGTCTGTCCCGAGCATGTGAAGACAGACTCTGGCGGATTGAGCGGATGAGACCTACTAGAATAGGACCAACGATCATGAAGGCGGTTTCTGCAAGCATTGTGGTATGCCAAGAGCACGGCAAGACACAGTGGTCAACCACTGTGCCCAGCCCATCTCCAACCGTCTTGACTCTTGTCCTGCCACTGGAGCAAGATGGATTCTGGAAAGAGAGAGTGAGGCTGACTATGCACACCTCTCCCTCACTTTAATCCAATCCATGCACAAGTCTAGTAAACCTCAAAGTCCTGTGGCAATGGGCAAGCGACGAAGCAGCAGGTGTGGATACACTGGGAGCTGTAGCCGCGGACCTGCACACAGGCGGCTCAGGTCTATGGTCATCTTCTTGCTGACTGAAGCAACAGCTGGATTCAGCGTCTACCTGAGTGACTTCGCAGCCCTCTTTAGGACTGCACTGCTCACCTTTGTAGCAAGAGGAAGGGGCTAGAAAAGGTGCCCTAAACATTGTTGCTTCAGAGAACCCTGACCAGCTTACCGTGGCTGGAGGTGATCCCATCTTATGTGGTCAAACAACAAAAATGCAAACAAAACGCAAACGCAAGGTAACACCACTGACTATTGGCACGTGGAATGTACGCACGCTTCAAGACAACCCCTCAGCAGATCGACCAGAAAGAACAGCAGCCCTGGTCACCAGAGAGCTCACAAGATTTAACATCGATATAGCGGCCTTGTGTGAAACTCGCCTAGACAACGAAGGTCAGCTCACAGAAACAGGAGGTGGTTACACATTCTTCTGGTGTGGACATAGCAGAGACGAACGTCGTGAATCTGGAGTTGGCTTTGTGGTTAAGAATCATCTTATCCCCATACTTGCCAGTCTTCCCAAGGGTGTGAATGACCGACTCATGACAATGCATCTCCCACTACCGAGAGGAAAGCAAGCCACACTGATCAATGCCTACGCACCCACAATGACGAATCTGGAAGAAGTAAAGGACAAGTTTTATGAAGATCTCGATGCCCTACTCTCATCCGTGAAGCGCACCGACAGGCTGATTCTACTTGGCGATTTCAACGCAAGAGTATGATCCGATCACTCTGCCTGGGATGGTGTCATTGGAAAAAATGGAATCGGCAAATGTAACAGCAATGGCCTACTACTACTGAAGACATTTGCGGCTCATGATCTGATCATCACTAATACCATCTTCTGCCTGCCCACTTGCAAAAAGTCGTCCTGGATGCACCCACGCTCCAAGCACTGGCATCTCATTTATTATGTCATCATGTGGAGGAAAGACAGGATGTAAGGGTGACCAAGGCCATGTCGAGTGCTGACTGTTGGACTGACCAGACTCATCATCTCCAAATTAAGCCTTCACATCAAGCCAAAGAGATGTCCACAGCCAAAGCTGTGATGAAAAAGATCAATGTCAGTAAACTGAGGAACCCCAACATAGCAGCTTCACTAGCAGAAGATGTTGACAACCAACTCTCAGAGCTGCAATTAGAGGAAAATGCTGAGAAGGACTGGGTACGCTTCTGGGATATTGTGCACTCTTCTGCACTAAAGCTTCTTGGACCCTCACACAGGAAACAGCAGGACTGGTTTGATGAAAACGATGAAGAGATCAAGGCCTTACTTGCCAAAAAGCACTGCCTTCACCATGCTCATCAGAACGACCTGTTGTCAATAACTAAGAAAAACGCCTTCAACAATGCTTGCAGGACTGTACAGAGCAAGCTTTGCAAGATGCAGGACTCCTGGTTGAGTGCCAAAGCAGATGAAATCCTGAGGTTTACTGATAGAAATGATGCCACATGGTTCTACGAAGCCCTCAGATCCTTGTACGGACCTCATCCTTCAGGGAGCTCCCCTCTACTGGACTCAGATGGTGCAACTCTCATTACTGAGAAGACTGATTCTACTGCATTGGGCTGAGCACTTCCAATCCGTACTGAACTGCCCATCCTCCATCAATAATGAGGCGATTGACAGAATGCCCCAGACAGATATCAACCACAGCCTGGATGCCTCACCATCAAAGCCTGAAACCCTACAGGCCATCAGCCAGCTGTCCAGTGACAAGGCCCCAGGATCTGATGCGATCCCAGCGGAAGTCTATAAGGAAGGTGGTGGAGTGCTTGTCGACAAATTCACTCAGCTGTTCCAGTCCTTCTGGAATCAAGGATCCATTCCTCAGGAACTGAAAGACGCATCCATTGTACACCTCTACAAGAGGAAATCGACAAGTCTGTGATAATCATCGAGGAATATCACTGCTCTCCATCGCAGGCAAGATCCTTGCATGTGTGTTGCTGAATTGCCTGATTGACCACCTGGAACAGGTTCTACTACCTGAGACACAGTGTGGCTTCTGCAAAGAGCGTGGCACTGTGGTCATGATCTTCACAGCCCAACAGCTCCAAGAGAAGTGTCAAGAACAGAATCGTGAACTGTACACCAACTTTGTGGACCTCACCAAGGCTTTTGACGCTGTGAGTTGTGAAGGTCTGTGGCGCATCATGTTGAAGTTTGGGTACCCTGACAGATTCATCCTGATGGTACGTCAGTTCCACGATGGCATAACAGCTCGTGTTTTGGACGATGGAGAAGCTTCAGAGGCCTTTCCTGTCACAAATGGCATCAAGCAAGGGTGCGTGCTGGCACCGACCCTGTTCAGCATAATGTTTTCAGCCATGCTGACAGACACCTTTCAGAACAACTCATTGGGAGTCAGCCTGAAATACAGGACAGATGGGAAACTGTTCAACCTGCGAAGACTCTAGGCTGTCACGAAGATAAAGGAGACTGTGCTACGAGACCTCCTTTTTGCTGATGACTGTGCCCTGAATGCTGGATCAGAGCAGGAAATGCAAGCCAGCATGGACAAATTTGCAGTAGCATGTGACAACTTCGGCCTCCTCATTAACACAGAGAAAACCAAAGTGATGCATCAGCCAGCTCCGAAAGCCCAATACCAAGAGCCCACCATCACAGTGAAGAGACAGAAGCTGCAAGCAGTGGACCAGTTTACATACCTTGGCAGCACCCTTTCCCGTGCAGTGACAGTTGACATCGAGGTCAACTGCAGAATTGCCAAGGCAAGCTCTGCATTTGCAGACTGCAGACCAAAGTGTGGGACCGCCATGGAATAAGCCTTGCTACAAAGCTTAAAGTCTACCGAGCAGTAGTGCTAACTACCCTGATGTATGCCAGTGAGACTTGGACAGTATACAGGAGGCACGCTAGGCAACTGAACCACTTCCACATGACTTGCCTCCGCAGACTTTTGAGGATCTGGTGGCAGGACAAGGTGCTAGACACAGAGGTCCTCTCCAGAGCAGGCCTGCCATCAGTTCACACCCTGCTGATGAAAGCCCAGACACGCTGGGCAGGCCATGTTGCAAGGATGTCAGACCACCGCATCCCCAAACAGCTCTTCTATGGTGAGCTGTCTCAAGGAAAGCGATCGCACGGGGGACAAAAGAAGCGATACAAAGACATGCTGAAAGCCTCTCTCAAGTCCCTGGTTATTGACACCACCTCCTGGGAGACCCTGGCACAAGACCAATTGACATGGCGCACGCTGATCCACCAAGGCTGCCAAACTTCTGAAGCCAGAAGGACAACCATAGCACAAGAGAAGCGAGCACTCCGTAAAGTCAGAGTTGCAAATGTTGCAACAGTGGTGCCCACACATGTCTGCCTGACATGTGGCAGAACACTCCGTGCCTGTATTGGCCTTATCAGCCACCTGCGGACACACCGTGGACAACTCACAACCCGTTAGATGTTAAGGTCCTCATCGAAAACGATGGACGAACATCACCCCTGGTGCAATTATTATGTGTGCAAAGGCTTGTCAGGTTCTGCACAGGCAGAACCTTTCATTGCTATAGAATTGCTAGATGAAATTGAGGGAAATTTACTAGTGACTTTTAAAGGGCAAGTAAAAGTTGCATGACTTTGAAATAGGGTACACTTTTAGACAAAGCAACTTAAGAGTGTGATCTCATAGCCTTCCACCAGTTGAAAGCAGTTTAGGTTTGGTAGGTGGAACAACAAAATAAAAGCACCTCTTTTCCACCTGAAAAAAAGAATTTTTAGCTGTACTGGTCTCTTGGCCTGTCTAGCTTATTTACTTTGCTGCAGGCAAGAAGGAGTGTCCGGCTCCTGTCTCTACCCACTCATCCACACCCTCTCCCCTTTTCTCCCTCTCTGACTGTTTTCTGAGGTACAAAAGTGACACTGGAAGAGGAGTTGCCTCAGACCTTTCTGTGGCCACTGGATAGGGCAGTATCCCCACATGGATTCCCATCATTCTCAAGTTACGGGTGGGAAAATATGCACCAACCTATTTTAATTTTATTGTATTTTACTGTATGTTACTTTATTTCTGTGTTATCCACTAGCCAAAGAGCTCTGAATGGCTTACAACAATCTTTGGTACATGGGAAGCCCTTCCGAGGAACATAGGGTTGCTTCGTGAAGGATTTGTTTTTTCTCTTCCTTTTTTAGCTGTTCAGAGCATCTCTGCCGCATTCACCTTTCCCACAGACATTCTATGCCAGAAATTCAGCAGGGCTCTTTGAAGAGCTAAGCTGTCACCAGAACAATTTTTAAAAGGAGAGAGAGAGAGAGACAGAGAGAGAGAACTTTTAGCTAGTATTTCAAAATGCTGTGATGTTATGGTTTCCCCTCTGCATGCATGTGTGTGCTCACATTCCCCCCCCCCACCCCATTAAAGTTTAGGTACAGTTTCCATCCATCCCCATCCCTGAAAATTATGGGAAAAGCTGCATCTTATACTGCAAACCAACACTAGTTTAGCCCAGTCAGCAGTACTACTTGTCTATTTTCTCACACAGAGCTCTCTCCCACCACTGCTATCCAAGATCTTTCTATCTGGAAATGGCAGAGGTTAAGTTTGGGAGTGCCCAATAAAAAATGAATTCTCCTACTAAACCATGTCCCCTCTTGTATTTTCAGTGTGAATCTTATCAGTTGACATAAATATAATCTAGAAAATGATAATAGATAATAGCAGACAAAAACATAGTCAGTGAAATTAATTAATGATATAGCACATTTGCTGTAATCTAATCACTGTTAAGCCTTTAACCAGTTTAAATGAGAATAGATTCAAGTACATTGTACAGTATGCCGTGAGAAATGATAGAACAACTCCAAATTCATTGCAAAAACTCCAACTGTACCTTTAAAATCTTATAGACACTACGTGGCATATTTGAAGAAACGAAGTACTTGGAGCTCATGATCGTTAATGACCATAAAATGGTAAGTTGATAGTTTTGAGTTATGTAATTACCAAAATTTAGAGAAACTCTAGTAATTCAACCTTTTCTTTTTTATAAACTGTCAATAAATTTGCATGTCATTTGCTGATACAACTTGATAATTGTGTAGCATTTACTAATAGAAACTGGGCCACTTTGTGCATAACATCAAATCATTGGTTAATTAACGCAGAATTTGCTGTGCATGACTGGGAGTGATTGAGCTCCCTCTGGCGTGCTCCTCACTTCCATTTCATGTCACCCTATGATCAGCCCATTTATAGGTTGTGAGTGTGAAGTACAAAATCAAGTTACTAAGGGCTAAACAAACCTACAACAACCCATGACTTAGCTACTGGGTTATTCAACCCCTGAATAAGTCAGCACGCTTGGTTCCTACACTATGCTCACAACCTGTAGGCTGTTTACAGAAAGCAAAAATGAAGCAGCACACTCACTCCAGCATGTGCTCAGCAAAACAGGGTTTAAGTACACATAAACCAAGTCACTCTGTACTGCTGAGGGATCCTCAGTGGGAGATTTGATAAAACATACACATGGTGTGTCCAAGTTAATTTCTTTCCGTCCATTGTTAAATAGACACAAGAAAGTTACCTGGGAAAGATGGCAACCCAACATTACATTTCCACAGGCAATTGGAAAAGAAAACACTGGAGTATAGTGCTTCTCTCAAGATAGGGAAGCTACTCATTTAGACCAGTGTTCCCAAGTGTTGGAGGTGTAATGTTTTGGCAGTGCTCAGTGGTAGCTTCCTTTTGGGAGGGGGTAATAATTCACATAAATCTTGTGATGTAAAACTCTTTAATATTTAAAGATACACATGTTCTTTTAAATTACCTACCCATCACTTTGTGTGATTAACCATGAAATCAATGCTTATAGGCTGCATAAATGTGAGCAGTTCAAAAAGAAAATATTATTTGCAGAGTGACTCAGTGGTCTTTAACATTACTGGTGATAATTAATAAGAAATCACTTGATTGTATTATGACCTAACATTTTTCTTCCAGTTCAAAAAGCATCGATCATCCCACGCTTATACAAACAACTTTGCGAAATCTGTGGTAAACCTTGTGGATGCTGTAAGTAACAATACACTTAGTATTGTTCAACATTTGATTAAGTAGACACAGGAATGAAAAAAAGAAGTGATGGAGAATGATAGTTTTAGAATGTTGCTTGCATATTCTGTGAAAAGGAATCCAGTAATTCATTAAACAACATTTACTTAATTGACCAACAGAGAACGAAGTGGAAGAAATAGCTGTGCAAGAAGATTTATCATTGCCTTTTCCATTGAGCAAATGGTTGTACAAGTTGTAGAGCATGGATCCTCAAACTACGGCCTGTGGGACAGATCTGGTCCGCCATGGTCATCCATCTGGCCTGCACTGCCATTCGCTGCCCACACTTGCGCTTGCTGTGCGTGCAGGGAGGTGGTGGCTCACTCGCTTGGAGATGGTCTCTGAGCAAGCAAGCCACCACTGCCTGCCTCCCGTACGCGCATGCTCACCACTGCAGTGTGTGGGGGGGAACGTGGTGTCTTGCTCACTCAGAGATGGTTTTAGACTCGTTGGGAGATCTCCCAGTGAGTTCAAAACCATCTCCGAGTGAGCAAGCCGCCGCCTGCCTTCCCGCGCATGCATGCTCACCGCTGCCTTGCAGCACAGGCTGGAGGCGGTGGCTTGCTTGCTCAGAGATGGTTTTGAATTCGCTGGGAGATCTCTGAGTTGAGCGAGCCGCCGCCGTGCACGCCCAGCAGTACCTTGCGCGCACACTGGCCCAAGTGTTTTGCTGCCGCCTTTCTATTGGTCCCCTATTGAAAAAGTTTGAGGACCCCTGTTGCAGAGGATCAGTTTATGAATCTGAAATCTGCAGGCAGATTAAATATTTATTTATTAAATTTGTATAAAAGTCATCCATTAGCATCATGTGCTCTTGGCCACCATTACAATAAAAGTGTCAATAATAACATTATGTCAATAATAACATTAAATAAAATAATACAGTTAAAATATTATAATAAATAAGATAAAACAAAGTATATATAACCAGGCAAAACATATTTATTTATTTATAAATGTATTAAAGCTTTTGTATGCCATCCTATTATGCAAAATTAATAAAATTAATAAATTAAATCAGTACTGTTAATATGGATGGTCTAGCTCATGGTCCTCAAACTACAGCCCATGGGCTGGATCCAGCCCGCCATGGCCATTTAACTGGCCTGCCTTAGAGGTTTTGGACTGTACAGGCCTGTGCATGCATGCGCATGGTGAGACAGGGCTTACGCTCAGGGAGATAGTTTTCTCCGAGCAAGTCCAAAATGATCTGTGCGCACGCACACCGCTCCCTCATTGTGCGCCCCCGCCCTCTCCACACGTGCACCCATGCCCCACACCCCCTCACCAGCCTGCTTCCCCCCATCAGCTCACCGCTGGCACGTTTCAACAGGCCTCCTGTTGAAAAAGTTTGAGGACCCCTGGTCTAACTAGTGCCATAGATGCATAGAAAAAGAAACGTTTTCATTCAGCACATAAACTCAGAAGAGTAGGTGCTTGACAAATCTCAAATGACAGGGCATTCCACAATGGGTGTGCCACCACAGAAAAGGTTCTTCTCCTTGCAACCTTCACCTTAAGCTCCTTAGGGAGAGGAACCTGTAGGAGGGCCTTCATTGATGATCTTAAACAACAGGCAGGAATGTACGGAGTAAGACACTCTCTAAGATAATATAGTCCCAAGCCCAATTTTATTTGGATTCTCCCCTAGTGCATAGCTTAAAACCTGTTTCTTCATCATGGCCTCTGTGCATCACATATATGGGTGCTATGCCTGCGCAATGCCTAAGGCCGGAAAGATTGCAAAGCTAATGGTTTTTGGCGGGAAACTCCCCTCCCCTCCCCCATAATGCTATAAATAGAGCAGAGTGTCCGCCATTTTCTCAGTCTTTTGCGACCGCTGTTCGCTGTGCCTCGAGCCTTTTCTCTCTCGTTCGTATCGTATAGTATTGCTCTTATTGTTAACCTTTCTTGTTACTAGTTAGTGTTCTATTCAATTTCCAAGTTACTCTTCCCGTTCGAGTTCTTCCTACTCTCCTATCTAAAAACAAAAACAAAACCCCCCCCCCAAAATATTATCTTACCCTCTTTACTATCATCTCATTATTTCCTTTTCTGATGGCGCAGCGAACGGTCTTTCGTAAATGTTCCCAGTGTGGGTCAAAAATGTCGCCAGCTGACCCACATGATCTGTGCCTCCTTTGCCTTGGCGAGGGGCACAGGACAGATAAGTGCAGCCATTGTCAGGCCTTCACAAAGCAGGCGAGGAAGAATCGTGAAAAACACCTGCGTAAAATGCTTTGGGACCAGGCCCTAATGCAGTCTGACCAACTGGCTGCTAAGACTGTTTCGGCTTCAGCTTCTGCCACACCTCAGCGCCCATCGGCTGATGGTGCCCAGGTTGTCGAGACCCAGCAACCTCCTTCTTCTCCTCACAAGAAAAAGGAGAAAAGGAAGCATGGAGGGTCCGATAAATCCTCCAGCCATAAGAAGCTGAGGAAGGAGAAGATGGATAAGATGGCTCATAAGCCTAAGAAGCCAGATCAGGGTCGGCGCTGTGATTCGGGATCGTCTGCACCATCGATCCTGATGGCCGCGATGGTACCGACGCCAACGGGCCCTTCCCTGCAAATTGCTATGCAGGTGACGGCTCCAGGGTCCCCTAGACGGGTCATTCGCTCGGAGCACTCATCTCCTGAGCGACCCGACGTGCCACTTCACGAATCAATTTCAGATGGTGAGATTCATGATTCACCACCTACGGCACGTTCCCCAACTCCGATACCGCAACCGGGACCAGTTGCATCCCAACATAGGCACTGATGTCATTCTCTGGAACAGCCATTGGAAGAATGGAACCATCCCTGCTATTCCACTCACCACGGCGGTTGGGATGAATATTCATCGTTTGCTTATTACCCATCAGCTCGTTCTCCAGTACCGAGGGGAGACCCGTCTACCTCCAGACCATGGAGGTCAGGGCATCTCACCTCTCCAAGGGATTCATTCTCTAGTGGCCTTATGCAGTATGGGTATGAATCGGATGACTCTGAAGCAGATTCTACTTCCCCTGACGTAGCCATCACCACTCAGGGTCTGGGATCGCCTGAGGAACCCCACGTCACCTTCAGGGAGCTGATGGCTAGGCTTGTTTGTTCTCTGGAGATCGAAGCACAACACCGGATCAATCCCAGCACAGACAAGTTCTATGACATTGTCAGAGGCGAGCAATCAGCAGCTATTATCCTGCCGCTGATTACCACACTACGCCAGGCTATGGTGCAGCCTTGGGACTTGCCTGCTCAACTGCAACCGACATTGAGGAGGTACGAGGCGATGTACCGGGTTCGGGAGCAGGATATACCATTCCTCCTGCATCATCTGAAAGAGAGTTGCGAGGCCACACCGCTCCCCGGGATAAAGAGGGACAGAAAATAGATATGTTGGTGCGTTGAGTCTTTGTGGCCTCTGGACTCGGTCTCCACATATGGCCAGTAATCAGTATTTCCTCATGCAAAAGCTTGAGAATGTCATCGCTTCGATACCTGACCAGCGAAGGGACCTAGCCAGGGTCTTCATCAAGGAGGCCATGCAGGTCTCAATACAACAACTGTCAGCAGCGAGACATCACGTGGACTCCAACTCCAGGACTCTGGTCGATGCCGTCTCCCTCTGCCGGCATGCATGGCTGCGGATTTGCAATTTCCCCTATGAGATGAAGCTTCGAATCGAGGAAATGCCATTTGACGGTTCCGGCCTTTTCCACTCCAGGACAGACCACAAACTCAAGTCTATTCATGAGTCAAGGATGACTGCGCATTGGATGGAGCTTCCTTCCCAGCCGAGATGTAAGTGGTCGTGGTCTCGTCCTTCGTACTGGCCCCAGCAATTTTCCCAATTCCCAGGGAGGCAACAATACCAGCAACATCAGCAGCGTCGGAAGCAACTCAAGCAACAGTGGTTCCAGCAGGTCGCCGTCGCTATGATTCTGACAAACGCCAACACTGAAGGGTTTGGCGAACCTCTCCTCTCCTCTCCTCCTGCTGCCACCCTCCCCTCTCCCGTTTGGGGATCCATCACATCTGATAGGTGGGTTTTATCCATCATCCAGCTCGGATACAGAATAGAATTCGACACCGTTCCTCACCAGTGCTAGTGGACGAAGTTATCCAACTACTTCGTAAAGGAGCGATCCAACAGGTTTCACACTGTGAGGGACTTCATGGGTTCTATTCAAGATATTTTACTGTTCCTAAACGGGATGGTGGTCTCCGTCCAATCCTGGACTTAAGAGACATTAATAGGTTTATCAAACCTAAGAAATTTTGGATGACCACCCTTCAGAATATCCTTCCGTTGCTGAGGAGAGAGGATTGGTTCGCCTCCCTGGACTTAAGAGATGCCTACTTTCATATTTCAATTCATCCCGGCCATAGGCGTCTCCTACGTTTCGCTGTCGGTTTCGACATACTTGAATTTAATGTCCTCCCATTTGGCTTGGCCACTGCTCCTAGGGTCTTCACTAAATGCATGGCCCCCGTTTGTGCACACCTCCGGCTCCAGGGTATTCAGGTATACCCTTACTTGGATGACTGGTTGCTGGTTTCCCAGACTCGGGAAGATCTTCTATCAGCTGCGGACATAACTTGTTCCTTGTTGGACAATCTGGGATTGTGTATTAATTGCAAAAAATCATCCCTTGTCCCCTTGCAGGTGATCGACTTCATTGGAGCGTGTCTCAGCTCCACTCTTGCGAGAGCATTTCTTCCTCTGGCCCGTCAAGACAGTTTTCTCATGGATCCGAAGCTTCTGGGTCACATGGCCGCTTCAGTGTCCATCGTTCCTCACGCCAGACTTCAACTACGACCACTTCAGCTGCATTTCAACAAGTTGTTTCATCCACAACGGGACTCGCCCACCAAGCCTATTCGCCTTCCGCTGTCTGTCCTACACACGCTAGAATGGTGGTCAGTCTCGGACAATCTGAATGTAGGTGTTCTGTTCCGACCACCTCATCG